AAAAATTATTCAAACCGATAACGTCTCCGGTGGAATACCAGGAGACGTATCTAGCCAGAGCACAACCTGCTTCAACACTTTACAGTTGTGTGGCCGTTCCATCATCGCACTTGGTGCCATCAGAATAATTTTGGCTACAAATATAAGCCAAGAAAGATAGCCCTGAGGAGTACGGGCAGTCACAACGGCTTTCTTCTCAGGGATTGTGTCCCTAACGCCATACCCACATTAATCAGCGGCGTATCTCCCTCCGTCACCATAGTCTCCATACATCGAGACTTAGAGGGTAAGAGTCAAGCTAGCCACAGCAAGCTCTTTATCATCAGAAATAATAATAAGGAATAGCTGGAAGTTGTACCACTGGCCCTTTTGAGGGCCATCATAAGTACTTAACCACCCAACACATTGATTTTTTTAAGGGCCACCTAAGTTTAAACTACCTTGCCAACAAATATAGTTTTACTACCATTTCCGAAAACGATTCGTCGACTAAAAGACTATGCTAACTAAAGACTGCCACTATTGCACCAAGTCAGTCATTCACTGGCAGTCATCACGAGCGCAGTTGTTCATCACATAGCTGGGAACCCCAGTGATCGACAACCCTATATTATCCTCTTGACTCTAAGCATTCAACCAGAAATCACCGATCCTCTCCAAGGTCTGCACTGGGTGTACCCAACAGCTATGAAGGAAAAAAAAACTTCAGTCAAGAAAGAGTTTACTTAAGAAGTTCACCGAACTTTTTTAGGTTAATTAGACGTCGAACTACCTTGCCAAAAAATATATAAGAACTTAACAAAGTTGACAGAAAACAGCTTTAAGGGGTCACAAAAATTTTAAGCATGCCAAAAGTCGCTAGAGGGTGAATTGGAAGGAAAACTTCAAATGTATCTAATGATTACACTTTTAGGCGTCAAGAAACTGACGCAGAAAATTTATTGAGATGGGAACAGCAGCGTCAAAATCGACAAATAAAGCGACAAATCATACGTGAGAGATCAGCTTTTCATTGTACCTTCACAGTAATTTTTTAAATCTTTTAGTTTCTTAAATAAGTAGAAAATGTGTTTGTATTTTTGTGTCGATAAAAAATGTAGAGATTCAGCTCCATGACTTTGTGGCTCTGGTAATAAAGTTGTGAGATAAGAAAAAAAAATTTCTTTTATTATACATTTTTTGGGAGTTTAATATCTTAACATCTTTAAAAAATAGCCCTTTTCGAAAATCACACGGGAGAAACTAATAATCAACGGCCCCTTATGGCCAACGATTATTTTATGGCATAAGAAACGCACGGTACTGTTCAGCAAAATTATATTTTTTTTAATTTTTACAGCTTATTATTTGATCAAATAAACTGTATGGATTGCGAACAAACATGTTTTTATTAAGAAGATTTTTGTTCTGAGAAGTGTCAGGAATATACGTTAATTTTCTAACTGAAAACGTTTCACGTTACGTGTCAACACATCACGGTGTTCAATTTCGTAAGTCTCGGGCGAAGCCGAGATGAGAGATCGCTACTGGTTAAAAAAATAGAACATCATACATACAAAACACGATTGATATATATATTATTAAAGCATCAAGATTCATTTCAACGTTCATCTATTTCTTTATTCATATTAGCGTTTCCAAAAATTTTGTTTTTAAAATACTAATATTAAATATGTGATACTTTCATAATTTTTAGTATGAAAGTTAGATTTCATCCAAAACTTTTGCAGATATGGTTTTATCTATTACTTAAAAATAAATATATGAAACAATATTTAATTAAAATCAAATTAAAATAATTAATACGTTCGCTCGATTATATTACAGGAATTTTAGAAATTTCAAGACTGAAAAAATTGTTTTAAGTATTTCGATACATTTTAAAAGTGATTGTTTCGTGGAGGTGTTTACGGCCCAATTTAAACCAAGGATCGTATAATTGGGTGACAATAATTATACATGATAATTGCAAACTATAATTAAACTATGTACAATTTATTATTAACATGAGAAAAGGCTTGCCTACTGATAGAGGAGCTTTCTATTCAGCGGTCGTGAGCTGCCTATTTATACTGCACAGAGTAATTTTTATATTCATCATTTTGTGTCAAAGTTCAAGAGTATTTATTATAAGCAACGTACACAAGTACAGTACATTTAATCTTTGCTGATAACAACTTTTGGACAAAATCGTATGAGTACAAATGTAGCAAAGTCTCTCTGTAGAACATTGTCAGCATCTTAAATCCAAGCAAAGTAATTTCATTTATGTTTTGAAAGTAGAATTTCACTAAGTAACTGTTATTAAAGTATTATAGAAATTTTGCACGGCACTTAGAATATTGATTAACAATTAAACCTCTTGCTGCAAAAGGTTCTACTCTGCATCCTTCGTATTTACATTCTTATTCAAACAAAACTTTTTTAGTAGTTTCAAATGAAAAGATAACTTGAGGACCCGTTACAGCTCAGTGCTCTGTTTCTCTTTCTTCACATTACCATTACTTTTTCATTGTATCTTTCAACAATTTTGCATTTTTCAAGAAATCAAATACTTTTTTACATAGCAATGTAAATACTTTTTTGTAGTGCATTAACAATTTTGTACTAATTATGTCATACTTCAAAAATTTGTATATACCATTTGACGTCTCATGATTGATATCCATTTCTAAATGTTGGTAAAAAAGTTCATTTCTTTCGAAATAAGGTCTTTCCATTTGAATATAAAATATGAACATTTTTTTTGAAAAGTAATGCTCTTATAAAACATCCTTTTTATTCAATTGCGTTAGGCATTTTCTAGTTGCTGATAAAGAGTTATTGTTACAAATGTTTGCTTTAATAGTATAAGTAATGCCCATATAGGTCACCTATGCTTTTACGAATGATGCAGTCATACCCAATCATCCTGTGTATACTTTAATATATTTGAAATCTCCCTGAAGATGGTAATGGTAAACCACCAAAATATACGCTAGGTCGACAGCGACATCAGTTGTCAAAATGCCTTAATAGGGGGGTAAGAACAGCTAAACAGGTATGCGATAATCATGTACAAAGAGTTACTTTGTTTTTAAATTTTACGTGATTATGGGATTCTGAAAGGGGTATAAATGTTTGTGATGGTTGAATTTGGTATCTGAGTAGTAAAAACAAGTATGTTTTTACAAAACAAGTAATCTATAAAGCTGAGATCTTATGAAATAAACTGACTGTACGGAATCAATTTAAGCATATGAGAGCAAAAGAGAGGTCAGGTCTGCTCGTCTCTCTCTCTCGCTCTCACGTGCTCAAATAGATCCTTACAGCTCATAAAATTCTGACTTCGTGGAAAAACTGTCTTTTTAAAATGCTCTTATTTTAAATTTTTTGATGACTAATTTCACTGTCACAAACATTTCTACAACTTGCAACGTCCTATAATCACGAAAAACTTATTAACAAAATTGCTCTATTTACATGTTTATCACATACCTATTCAGCTTCTCTCACCTCTCTATTGAAAAATACATCCGTGAGATGGCACGGGCGTTTCACACCATAGGTAGTTACCGAGCGTATGGGACAAATGTACATTTTTCTCAATAAATAGTCCTGCTCTAAACAATCACTGTTGCATTCTCATTTATAGATTTTATAAAACAGTTTCAATAATTTGTCTGACGAAAAGAATTAATCGTTGAAATAAGTTATTATTCACGAAATGAATAAAAAAAGTTGCTAAGTATATTGTATAAGAATATTACTAATTAATCTAATTTAATCGATGGGTAAGTATTAATGCGAGTAATTGAATTTATTGATATTTTCCCATCTCGTACGAGATTGCCAAGGCAATTCGATTTTTTTTCATTGATCGATATTCTTATGTACCATATGAGCAGGCGTCGACTGAAAAATCGCCGAAAGTATACAGCAGTTGAGAAGAGGAGTCGCCGAGACCTCGATGGCAAAATTGGTAACGCACTTTCCCTGCAAGAAAAAAGTTTCAGGTTAATCTCCTGGTCGAGGTGGCACTTTTTTTCAATTGCTCCATATGACAATTTTACTACAAATTGTAGTTTTAACTGAAAAAATATTAAATTGCCTTGGCAATCTCGTACTAGATGGAAAAATGTCGATACATTCAATTACTCGCAAAAAAAGGTGCTCTTAGAATGTGTGATGCAAAAATCAGAATATCTACGTTTTTTAAAGTTCAAATCTTTAAAGATCCTACTTCAGATTTTTCAATAAGTAGAAAATGTATTTGTGTTTTTGTGGCAATAAAAATGTAGGGCTTAAGGTCCAGGACTTTGTTGCTCTGGTAATAAAGTTGTGAGATATGAGAAAAAAATTTTTTTTTAACATAAATTTTTTGGGGGTTTAAAATCTTAACAGCTTTAAAAAATAGCCCTTTTCGTGAATTACACGAGAGAAACTGTAAATCAACGGCTTCTTATGGCCACCGATTATTTTATGGCATAAAGAACGCACGGTACTTTTCAGCATAATCATATGTTTTTTAATTTTTACAGCTTATTATTTGACCAAATAAACTATATGGATTCCGAAAAAATATGTTTTTAATAAGAAGATTTTTGTTCTGAGATGTATCAGGAATATATGTGTAAAATTTCTAACTGAAAATGTTTCACATTACATGTCAACACACTACGGTGTTTTATTTAGTAAGTCTTGGGCGAAGCCGAGACGGGGGGCTGCTAGTTCATTATTAATGGTGATTGTTGTTAAAAATAATAACGTATATGATTATTTTTTATCAATTTTAATTCGAATGCAAACGCTTTTGTGATACACAAATCTGTTTAAAAAAGCAAACGTACAACCTTATAAGCAAAAAAGTCCCGCAAAAGAAGTTTCTTTATACAAATTATCAAACAAATAAAGTCATTCTTAGATATGTCTAAAAAAAATATTCTCCTGAACCAATCAAAAGTTTTGCTCAGGATATTATTTTTTGAGATTTATCCCTTTGACCTTTGTGCTGCGAGAAACTAGTTTCTTCGGGCAGGTGGAAATTGCGACTCATACACCTTAGTTGCAGGCCCAGGTTTTCCTGCCAGAATTGGGTTAATGAAGTCCAAGTAAGCTGAGACCTGCGTGTAAAATGCTGGTAATTGTGACTCGTTGCAGTCGAACGGGCCTGTACTCAAGACTCCAATGATTTTTCCATTCTTAACAAGAGGACCACCCCCATCACCCTAGAAAACGTTTGAAACAATTGTTACTTTTGAGTATCCATGAGTATTATCATGGTCATACCATGAAACGCTATGATTAATTTTAATCAAGCGTTGGGATTCTTACACTGCAAGTACCATAATGATCCAAGTTGCGTACTGCTGGTACCACCTTGCCACAGAAAAGTTTATGTAACAAGTGCTCTGTCCTGAAAATAAATTGAGTTAGCCTTTTGACTAGCTTCCACCAACAATTCATCCAATCCAATCAACCAATACTCGCAACCATATTTTTAATTCTATTTCGAACTTTGTCAGCGATTAAACAATTCATTGTTCCATAAAAAATATTGTTTTTGCACTATCGCGAAAATCAAAATAACGATGTTCTTCGTCAGAGGCGTTGAATTTATAGTCATTATCCCTACCTACCTTCCACGAGTGAACTACTGTTACTCAATAGAAGTAAAATTTTTTTGTACTGCAAACAATTGTTACATGTCTTTATCAAAAAAATACTCAACTAATGTCTTTTTTATTTTTAACTTTGTTAGTTAAGACTGATGAAAATCGAAATTTCCAGATGGGCATGCAAAATGTGCATGAGATAAAGATTCTGTAAAAATATATATAAAAGTGTTGCCAAGTATTAACAAAGATGGCTGCAGTTTGAAGGGCACAGATTAAAAGGAAAAAAAAACTTGCAGCGGTTAGCAAGCTGACTTGGATTTTTTACATTACGAAGTAGGTATTAGTAAACTTTAAGTAGTAGAATTAGTAGTAGTTGTAGTAGTAGTAGTAGTAGTTGTAGTTGTAGTAGTAGTAGTAGTTGTAGTAGTAGTAGTAGTAGTAGTAGTAGTAGTAGTAGTAGTAGTAGTAGTAGTAGTAGTAGTAGTAGTAGTAGTAGTAGTAGTAGTAGTAGTAGTAGTAGTAGTAGTAGTAGTAGTAGTAGTAGTAGTAGTAGTAGTAGTAGTAGTAGTAGTAGTAGTTGTAGTAGTAATCCACGATATGTAAGCAGGATGGATGACTGGCGCGCGTAGCTTCACTTACTTTATCACGCTCTTGGGTATCCCGCATTGGATCAAGGGAATCACATTCACCTTGACGAATTTCAATTTTTTATCCGCTGTATGTCCCGTTTCTACAAGCCGTCCTCCACGATTCTCAACTTGGATTGAGTTGTAACCAAAACCGGATACTAAAGAAGACCCACCTAGAATAGGTTCATCGGCTGGTGGTAAATTCACAGCAGTAGCCGTTAGACGCCTAGGAACTTCTAACTCCAGCTGTTACCGATCGATGTATGTAGATTAATACAAGTTTTAAGTAGTTCTATTAATATTTATGAAAAAATGACTTTTTCTGACCTTCAATACAGCAATGTCATTTGTACTAGCTACATCCAAACGCTTGTATTCTTTATGCAAGTAAATCTCTTTCACGCGAATCACCCCACCTTGAGTGCTACTCGTCAAATCACTTGTTCCTACATGAACTTTAATGTAGACTGTGTTTGGTGCTAGTCCTCTAGAGTTGTCCATGGCCCTTCTAATGCAACTAGTAGAAGTCAATATGAATTGACGACGGATAAGTGCACCACCGCATAGACCACCACCGTGTTCGTAATTCACTCGTATGAAAGCCAGGTATGGAAAATCATTTATATTTCCATTTTGACCGCCTATGATGTTTTCAGAGTCCAAGCCAGAGACTGAAAAAAAAATGGAAAATGTAACGTAGTATTTATAGTATATGATATACCAAACTTAAAAATAAGCTTTTTTGAAATAACACTTTCATTTTTTTGAGATACTAAGGTATCTTAAACACTACTCTCTTAGACAATCGCATCGCAGATTAAAAGAGCTCCAATAATGATAATAATTAGTGCTCGAGGAGAAAATTTACGATATAATAAGTATATATTATTTTAACTACTATTCTATTAAATGTTTGTCCATCTGGGCACATGAAAACGCAAAACTATCCTTGCAGATGGTTATGTAACTATCAGTAATATTTTTGAAAAGAATTTTTCGAAATGTTGAAAATGATAGGAAACTAATATGTCAACTTTTTAATACCAGTTTATAGTAAAACAATTACACTTTTTTTTTTTATTCATCATCGCCCGTAGGCTCAGACATGGCATTCTTTTACACAAGCATAGTGTCAATTAGCCATCAGTGCTACTGAGTTATGACCAGATGTTTATATACATATATAAACATCTGGACCAACTAAGTCACACCTACGAACACGTACACGAAGCGTCAGAGAAACAGTTAATCGACCTTCGAGAATCAAGAGCACCGGCGAAAGGGCGAGACCTGAATGGAGACGAGACGATCACCCATCCAAGAACTAACCGCGCCCAATGCAGCTTAACCTTGGAGATCGACAGAACTGCAACTCTACCGTTGCGCCACCGCGTCCACAATTGCACTTTTATAAGTATGTAAGGAGCTTTGCCCCTGCACGCTTCACACGCCAACCCCCTTTCAGTTAAAAACAAATATTTGATTTCCCGATTTTGTTAGAACAGTTTTATAATTTGCTACTATAAAATATACAATTTTGATTTTTCCCTAATGCAAAAGCTTAAACTACTAATTATTAAATCTCATTTTCAAATTAAGTCAACCCATCACAAAACGAATAAATTGATGACAATCAAAATTCATAGGTAGGAAAACATCATGACTATAAGGACACTTCCACAAACTTTTTTTTGCGTTTTCTCATAATGAACTCATCTGAAGTTTTAAAAAACAGTGCTGATAAAGTTGATGTATGTAGCATCTAATCAGTTTCCTATTTTTTAATTTAGATATGAGCCATCTGAAGGACATAAGTTGTAAAATTTTAGATATTTTTTATTCACAATGCAACCGTTGAAATATCAGGTACTAGAATAAATAGTAAAATTAATATTTTGAATGGACTTCAAATATTAAATACAAAAAAATTCGATAAATATAACTTAATTAAAAGTAAGAAGAGTTTTTTTTAAAGAAATTCTGAATCTTGTGAACCAGGCGCATACCTTAATTATTACTTAGTAGATAATTAATTAACTAATGGTGTTAAAAAAGTATGATATTGTTTTGTAAACTTTAAAGTAAACTCTAGCGATATGTTTAATGTAAAATTAGTTAAAACTATCTTACCAATGCTTATAAAAGTAAGTGCTATCCAAATCGGTAAAAAACTAGCCATCTTGATTCTACTGTTAGATATCTATCTCAGTACTGGAGGTAGCTACCAACTCAATTAGAAGAAAGCTTTTATAGCTCGAAATCTAGGAGTGCCGTCGACGTGGTTTTTACGCGGTACGTCAATGATTGAAAACAATAGCTGTTAATTGACGTTAGAAAGTACAAAAAACTTTTGTTTCAAATATAAGTACTGCAAATGAGACCTAGACAAATTTAGTGACATAAAATGATTGTGTAGAATCTTTGAAGTAGAAATTCACGAATGAAAAAGTACATTGATCCAACACCTGCATGATAAGTTGAAACAACATGGCTTTAATAGAAAATTTTTAACAGAATTGGATATTCCCATTTTACGTAAATGTCACCAGTGCGACTGGAGTCTAAAAATATTCATACTTTAGTGATATTGCAAGCGACATAAAAAAGAAAATGGCTTAAGCTCTGGAGAGAAGGGTAGTTTTCTTTTATTCATTTGTTGGTTTGTTTATGTATAAATGCTTTCCAAAAACTACATAAACATCGTTTTCAATTACTGCGGTATATTATTTACTTCCAAAGTTATAGTCTATTTTATGACGATTTTCGTAAGACTACGTGTTAACGTAACAAAGTTTTAGAAGCGGTTTTCTCAACAACAAAAAGTGGTTAATCATAGTAATTTTTTTATTACAAGTAAATTCGGCATACTTTATTGACATAATATTTGAATTTCAGAAATTTTTAGTATTTAAATACAAAATATTTTAAATGCTCCATTTAAGCAGATTATTTAGAAAAGTATAAAGTTTTTAAGGGCATAGACAAATTGGTTCCCAAATTTATAAAAAAAAGCAAATTGGTTTCCACTGTTTAATAAGTCATTAGGGCTTATGGTCAAATTGGTTCCCAAATCGAGTTGGTATAAAAAAATTGATGAACTTGGATTGAGCAGAGACTATGAATGTAAAGATTTTGAAATAGGCAATTTTTTTTTAATTTTGGCTTGCCTTTTTTAAACCCTGACATGGTGGATGAATGTTTTACTGAAGATTTGATGACTATAATGCCCAATGATGCTGGAGTGACTAAATTTTGCGACTATATATGTATTAGAAAATTACGTAGCAGATACCGTACTAATACCGTAAAAAGTGTAACAGAAGAAATACATGTATTATGGACGTAATTATTAAATAGCTAGGAACCAATTTAACCATCCGCTTTAATGACTCGGGAATCAATTTAAACCTGCCTGTTAGTGAAATTCTTGCTTGGGAACCAATTTGACATCTCCGGTTTTTAGTCTTCATTCATTATTAGTAGGTAGTTGATATAGAGTATATTAATTATCAATTTTAAAATAGTAGAATGTAAGGGTATTTAACACGTTAGTAATAAAGGTACACATTATGCTTAAAAAATAAAAAATTGAACAAATAATTTTATTTCTAATCTTTAATTATAACGTAGTGAACTAAGCAAGTTCAGCTCAAAGAAAAAGTTTTTTCAACAGATTAAAAAAGGATTTGTTATTATATAATATCAATTACTATATAACTTTTTATTGTTGAAAAAATAATTTTTTGTGAATGTTGCATCCAGAAGACTCACATTAAATATTTTATGAAATAATTTAGCAAAAAAATTTTCAGTTTTTTTTTAACGTGCTTTTATTAGCTTCACTTGTAACTAATTATGTGTGTAAAAAAATCTTGGAATCTTAATTTGACCCACTTCCCGGTCTTCGATTACAATAAAATTTGCACACGCTCTGAGTTCTGATGACCATACATGACTAGCTAAGAAACGTCATTACAAATCCAATATGGTGGCCTCCCCAAGATGGCGGACTGGCTGTTTAAAATCCACCCCCATGAAAGGGTTTGCTGTAAGGAATATGAATAAATAGTCACGTGACTTAAATCCAATATGGCAGACATCCAAGATGGCAGATTAGCTATTTGAAATGAACCCTCGTGATATAGATATTTAATGAAAGGGTTTGCTGAATGGGATACGAAAAAAATAATCACGTGACCTAAATCTAACACGGTGGCCGTCCCAAGGTGGCAGATTGGCTATTTGAAATGCAGCCCTATGATTTAGGTATAAAATGAAAGGGTTTGCTGAAAATAATGTGAAATGACATTTTCTTACCAAATTATCATATCATGGGTATCAATCAATAAGGTTCGACGAGAGGAATACGAAGATTGGACTTTAAGTCTATGAGATCCCACCTAAGCCAAGGTAGGATAGGCGCCGAGGGCTGAATGGTATGAGGGTGGTAAAAAATATCATATTGCTAGCGTTACCTTAGGGCACCGGGCGCAACCCTATTGTAATTAGCTTTGCCCCCCTACATGGAACTCTGGGGGGGTTGACCATCTATAAGACTAAAAAGTATAAAATAAAAATAATAGTTTCAAAACTAAAAAACACACTTGTAGCACGCACTAAAAATTACAAAATAATTCGGACATTTAGATTGATGACTCAAGAGTTTTCCCTTTGCCAAATCTTCATTAGATCGTAGGTAAACATAAACAATTTCAGTTCGTGATGAACGATAAAAAATTACTTATGAAAAATGGTTTTAAGTACGTAATCATCTTTATTAAATATTTGCTATGATTTATTACGAAAGAAAGCGTGGATCGTTTATATAATCTTTACTCTTTTTGGACAAATATACATTTTTCTCTCGTGTCTCCAAGACGATTTGCTTTGAGGTTTCTATTCAAAGTGATACATTATAACACCATATAATATTTTAAATACATATTTTTGGAATTTATGTCAAGGATAATAGAATAATAAAATCAGCCCTGAATCTGTATTATCACTAGAGTATTTTGATTTTTTATTTTTATGTGTATTTTCGATCTGATACATTATAACATCATATAATATTTTAAATACGTTTTTTTGGAATTTATGTCAAGGATAATAGCATAAAAAAATCAGCCCTGAATCTGTATTATCACTAGAGTATTTTGATTTTTTATTTTTATGTGTATTTTCGACCCTACTGATTAAAAAAAATAAATAAAAATTGTCAGATGGTGCATATTTATAAGAAAATATCGTGCAAATAAATACATGCTAAGTAGCTAAAGTTAATTAATTTTTTTAAGCCCTTCTGATTGCTAAAACTATTTTTAGCGACGTGTCACCTTTCTTGAAATACAAGCGTTACAAATTTTGAACGCTATTTTTTCCTCAATAGAAGCCAGCTATAAATTTGTCATATTTTTCAATCAGCAAGGTAAAAAGTACATGAAAATCAAAAAGCTAACCACTCTTCTGCTGATGTTAATAAATACTTAATTTTCTTTGATTAGAGATATATTTTATAATTTTTACCGTGATCGTCGTCTTCCTTTACTGTTAATATTATTTCCTTTTTGCTGTTTCACCATCAACACCCTCTGATACCTCTGAGATAGCATAAGACTTTTTCGTTCCCTTAACGAGTGATACAATCATTACAAAAATTTATATTAACCAAAACAGTTGATAAAATTGTATATTATGATTTGTAATACTTACACAAACTGTTTTGCAACCACCTGAAAATCAATCAAGTCACATTCCTCATGGTAATTGCTCGAGTTTTCTTCAAGGTATTTAAAATCAATCACTGAGCAAATAGCGCGAAAAGCCTGTGAGATGTTCTGAGGGTTTGGTGCAGCGTCTGGTTTATACAGTTCCTCGTATAAAGAAGTAGCATCTCTTCTATTAAGATTATAATAAATCCTATTTAAAGCACCAGGGCTGAAATTAATTCAAATTAGATTTTTTAATTGTTTTTCTACCTTTGCTCTAGCTCTTTATTATCACGAACAGCCTTTTATATATTTCTGAAACATACTGTAACAGCATAAAAACTATGAAATTTCTTGCACTCCCCTATTTACCCGTAAAACTCTTGATGGTTGTGGTGGGAGGAGATCCCCCTCTAACGTCAAGACCACATGCTATTCGCTATGCACCTGTCATTTAGCGCTACTTGTCATTTTAACACGTATTCTTATGGGAATGTAAAGAACTTTTGTTGACGGGGGCCGCTTCACCTATTTTGCCCCATAAAATTTAACACAGGAAATTGATAACAATGAGGGTAGCACCGTAGAAGCGCATAGCGAATACTCCCTTACGCTATAGCACGCGGGGTCTGGACTTCAGAGGAGAGATCTTCCTCTTCCCTTATCACGGGTATTGATTGAGGAGGGAAGGGGATGACAGGAACCCCATGGTTAATCTACTCTGAACCACTGATCACTTTTTCCCTATCTTGACAAACTATAACCAATATAACCCCTCTCCTTTTAACACCTACCCTCAGATCTCATCACTTTTTTCCTCTTAACAAACTCACAACTATTTAAGACGCCTAGGAAGCCTACTTCCAGATCACCCTGGAGAGTTGAACTGCTATAACCAATTAAGCTACGACTGTAAAACTGATATTTTATAAAATAGGTGTATTGAGTATTAATTTACCGGTGTAACCAGCTTTCTAAAGCTAAGGGTGCACTGAGTTGGTAAAGAGGAGTCTTTGATAGTTCCAATCCTTTCTCAAGAAGAAATATTTGGAGTGACTCAATAGAAATCCGTCTTACGTCCTCGACACCTATTTCATTTATCGCTTCCCTCAGTCATTGGTCTTTGGTGAAACATTCTTGTTCATGTGCTTGAGAAAGTCTTTTCCAAAGTATAAAAAGTGGACTGAAATGATGAAATGCAAAGTACTCAAAATTATAAACTGGTGGAGCCATGATTTACGTACTTTGAAAGTTAAAGAATTGAACGTAACTGAAACATGACAAAACATAAGCTCACTAACATGGTATATAGAATACTGTCAGTGGAAAATTTAAGTGATAAATAAAATTATGATTATGAAATACAGAATTATATCAATGATATATAGAGCTGAAACTAGAACCACGCCGAAGTAGCCTCACCAGTGACGAATCGAATCGGACCTAGGGCTTAAAACTTTTTTATAAAGCTTATTTTAGCTAGAAAACAATAAATATCATTG